GTAGGGTAAGCTCACTCGCGCTCTCTCTCTTTTTGTTAAAGTTACCAATTGTATGTCTTTCAGGCTAGCGTGTGAGTCAGCTCTATGGTTCACCGCATGGGAGCCGAGCTTTCTTATTTGCAGCAGCAGAAGGTTGCAGCAGAGAAAGCCTTGGAGGAGGCCCGAGAGCTCCTACGCTAATTGACCAGCAGAAGGCTAAGTTTGAGGCTGCTATTGGTCGAGCACAACTCAAGTGAGATCATTTGATGGCTGAGATTGAGACTCTAAAGATGGACCTCGTGCGACATGAGGATGAGGTGGATCAGGCTAGGGCTGAGTTATTTAGCCGTCAGGTTGAGTTTGAAACTTTGCGTACTCAATCTGCTGCTAACTAGAGAGACTCGAAGAAGCTGGAGATGGCGATGCGGGAGACGGGTGCCTTTGATACCTTGAAGAAAGAGGCTATGAGGCTAAGCATAATATGGGTGACCAGTCAGGTGGGCGCGAGGTTTCCAGAGGTAGACCTCGGGTTTCTCCCTTTTGCTTTTGAGTCGGAGTGGGTTCAGCCAGGAGAGCCTAGTCTTCCAGGAGAGGTTTCTAAGGGTGCTTTGGATGCTAGTGATAGAGGTTGATGATGCTGAGAGAGGTGTTGCGGCTACACTCACTGCCACGTCTAAGTTGGGTTCCTCGGTTGACCGTCAGCACTTTGAAAACTGCACATCTGAGCGAGCTTGTTGCTCAATTGGTTAGCCTTTAAAGACTTAAGGTGAGACTCAGGATAAGGTTCCATAGGGGCACGAGACTCTAGAGTAGTTTAACGGTTTCTTTTTATTTACTCAACCTTGTATGCATTTTTTTCTCGTAGATATACATTTTCTGAGACTTTTTTTAGTCCAACTGACTGATCTTTACTTGTTCAAGATAATACATTTCGCTTTATGGATAATATTTCTTGAGATGTTCAACATTCCATGGATGTTTCAATTGCTTTCCTTCGAGACTTTCTAAATAATAGGTTTTGGGTCGTGCAACTTTGATGACCCGGTATGGAACTTCTTAAATGGGTCCGAGTAGGGGTGTTCACCATGCATCGAAAAACCGCTCCGACCAACCGAAATCGACCGAACCGTGTCGGTTCGGTAGGTTTCAACAGCAGGTCGGTCGGAGTCGGTTTTGCCTTTTGTAAAACTGACCAGTCGGTCGGTCGGTGGTTTCAGAAGAAGAAAAACCGATCGACCAACCGACTTTTTCATTTTTATAAATGTATATTAAGGAAGATGGTGTGTTCCTCGAGATGGTTTGGAGAAAAATCTAGGGGCACATGGTTTTCTCGAAACCATACAACCCTCTATTTATTTATTTTTCTTTCCTCTCTCATCTTCATTTTCCAATATCACTAACATTTTCATTTATTATCTCTTCCTCTTTCTTCCCATTTCCCAAAATCTTCCTCTCACCATTCTCTCTTCACTTCACTGTCGTTCTTTCTTCTTCATTTCTTCTTCTTTTCATCTTCTTTTCATCTTCTTCCTCTCTTATTTTTCTACTTCCATATTCTCATTTCATATATTTTTCTTTTTACCTGATCTTCTTGTATAATAAAATTAGGGTTAGCCTCCCCTCCTTCCATCTCTCTCCCTTATCCACACTCTCCCAGCCACTGCCTCGTGGCCGCATCGCCCACAAACGACTTACACTCACCATCTTCTCTGTCGCATTGCCCTCGCCGTCGTGACGCCGT